ATGAATAAATAAATAAATCTTTAAAAAAAAAAAAAAGAAGAAAAGCTGTGCAAATATTTAAGACTAAATAGGCATGCTAACTAAATCCAACCTATGACCAAAAGGATTTTGTAATGGAGGGAAAAAAGTTATTAAGGATGCTATTATTGGATCAACAGACAAAACTGAAAGACCACTTGGTGAAGTATTTTATCAATTTAATATTACTGGCATTGGTAATTCTATTACTGTTCCGTAAAAGAACATCATAATTCTTAGGAAACATACCCTGAAATATTTAGGGGTTAAGAGTCATAATGTTAAGGGGAAGGATATCTATCCTAAAGGAACTTAGCAGAGTTCCGTGGACTCCACCCCCAATCCAGCTTTCTGGATGCTACCCCCTACTCCAGTGATTGGAAACTACAACTCCCAGCAGTACTATGGAGAGAGCTGTGAGGATCTAAGGGCGGAGCTAAGCAGGCATTCTGGGACTTTGTGGGATAAACAGGGCGCCATTTACAATGGCTCTCTCGCTCAGGCAGTGCCTCTCGGGACCATGGGACCACGTGACTGGGGGCTAGCCGTTAGTTTGTTACCAGAGCTCCAAGCCAGCAGAGTGGGTAAGATATTCTAGTTACCTTGTATCTCTCTCTCTTTCCCTGGGTTTTTCCTTTTCCTTTTCCCCTTTTGTAAATAAACCCAGTATTGACCCTTTTGTGTGTGCCTGCAGTATAAATGAATTTTAAGGGCGCAGGTGAGGACCCACAGACAGGTGGCCCAGTTCACACGGGGGTGCTCTGTAACACTGATAGATGCAAGTTTGCTCTCAAAAAGTTCAGGAAAAAAATTATGTTTTTGTAGACAGAGAAAAATAGAATAGCATTTAAAAGGGGTAAACAGTCAATACTGGACAAATAGCAGTGAATACACAGTATATAGATGTTCTACCATTCACATTCTTCCAACTTTTCTGTTAAGATGGAAATTACTTCCAATTTTTAAAATTTATTAGTTTTTAACTGAGAATATTGGTGTACCCCCACAGGCATTACCACCATCCTGCATCCACCACCACCTCATCCATATTCCACTATTTCTTTGTTCTTACCCCTCTCCCAGTCCCTTCCCCTTGGAGTCCCAGTTCTGTCATCAGCTAGCAGACCCAGACAAGGGTTAGCTTTTCAGGTTGCCTTTATCTGACTATTAATTTACTTATAGCAATGGCACCATTTGGTTTTTATCAATCCTCCTTCTGACTTATTTCAAGCTCCATATATGTTATCCCAAATGGCATGTGTTTATCTTTTTGATCCCTGAGTAGTATTCCACTGTGTTTTTATACCACCCATTCTTGATCCACTCATCTGTTCTGGGGCACTTAAATTGTTTCCATAGTTACCTATGGTAAATAGCACCGCAAGAAACTTGGCAGTGCAAGTTACCTTTCAAATTGGTTTTTGAATTTGTGGACAGGAGCCTAGGACTAGATGTACTTGGCTGAAGGGCAGGTCCACATTTAATGTTCTGAGATACCTCCATACAGCTTTCCTTCGAGGCCGGACCAGCAGTGTAGGCGGCTTCCTTTTCTCCACATTCTCGCCAACACTTGTTTCTGGTCTTTTCAAAATGGGCCAAACTCACAGGTGTGAGATGCTATTTCATGATGGTCTTAATTTGCATTTCCCAATAATAAGTGATTGTGAACATTTTTTCATGTGTCTGCTTGCTGTTTTAATATCTTCCTTACTCCCAGTTTTCTAAAAGATACATTTATTCACCATCATGATCAAACTATTAGATTTAGCAGTCAACAGCTCACATGTAAAAAATCCTTCATTGGGGCTCCTCCCTGGTGGTGCAGTGGATTGGAACATTGCACTGCAAAGGTAAGCCAAGCTGTGGCTGCTTCAGTGTGAGTTCCATCCCTCCTGCCCCGGAGGTGACCACATGGCGCAGCAGACCTCTCCTGACCCACCCGCTGCTCCCCTCAGCAGTGTACTTTGTCAGTCTGCC